TTGTCCTCATGTGGATAATCCTGGAAACTGGGAAAAGACTGGCTAACCTTATTTTTCAAACCAGATGGAGTTAGGCTTACCTGGCAAGGAAAATTACATCTTTAGTGAACTACAGATGAGGCAGTTTCACCAAGGAACGAGCCAAATCTCTTGTGACAAGAGAATCAGTAGATACCACATGCCAGGATAATTCATTGAAACCATGCTTTGCAAGTCTACCACATATTCCCTCATGAAAATATTTGCTTTCAATTGTCTCATGAAGAATGACGAAACTGAATAAATTGTGATGTTTTAAGCCACATTTTACTCAGATTTGTATAATGCACTTGAAATTGTATTACAGAATGAGGATAAAAAAATCTTTTGACTTATTTTCAATGACAACAGATTTGAAAACCAAGAGTGATGTATGGAAAGCAAATGTTCTTTTAGCTTTGAGAAATGGAATGCTAATATGGCTGACAACTGTTTCAGGATGCTGATGGCTACAATTACTCATTTATAACCACATAAAATAAAATAATACATGTGAAGAAAAAAAAAGCAGGACTTGAAAAAAAAAAAAGAAAGAAAGAGACAAATCAGGAAACCAAAATTTTGTTAATGCCAGTGTTTCTATGTATCACTGTTTGATTAGTTTTAATGGAAAAATAAAGGGAGTAATGATATAAATGAACAGCAGACATACATATTAGAATAAGCATTCTGGCTTTATCTTGGCAAGAGCTGTGACACATCTCACAGAAGAATAGTTGCAGTTTAGAAAAGAATAAATGTGACATTCTTTCTTGTAAGGTGTAGAGACCAAACCCAGGTGACCCAGAACACACCCCTGGAATTGTTAGGGAAATTGGCTGTTTATAAAATACATCTTAAATTAAAATAGATTTACATTACTTTCCCCTTCTGTTTCCCCCTCCAACCACTCCCAAGCCCTTCATTCTCAAATTGGTAACCTCTTTCTCACTGATTGTTATGGCTACGTAATTCTCTATGTTTGTATGTAAATGTACAAATATATAAGTATAACCTACTCTGTTTAGTTTTGTTGGTAGTGTATAAACTGTCTCAGGGATGACCACGTTATGTTGAACAACCAATACAGGGGGTCATTTAAACTTTTTAGAGTTGCTCAATTACCCATCAATTCAGAGAAACCGAAGTGTCTAGTGTAAAATCATATTCTGACTAACTGCCAAACTGCCTATACATTCAAGATAAATAATACTATCGTATGTTGTTGTTGATTTTAGCCATATCTCAATTTGGCTCCTACAAATATCTTGCTATAGACAAACAGGTTTATCTTTAGAATATTCTTAAAATTTTTTTATTATCTTCCAGGTTTGTATTTGCCATTCTTTCTATATATTAATAATATGCATATATATGACCTGCTATCCAGATTTATCATTCAAGACAAAGTTCGTAATTTATCTCAATCATTCTCTGTGAAACTTTGCCTAGGTATACCTATATACCAATGTCTTATAAACATGTCCAACTATTTTAGGAATGGCGTCAGCCCATTCACCTCAGAACAGCTTTCATAACTGAAATATAGCAATAGTAAATGACACTCCCGCACTCCTCACATCAGGCTATCCTTTACTATCCTTTTTGGGTATTCTGTTGGACCTACTTCATTCAGCTTCAGAGCAAACACTAAAATTGGGTGAAATATGAAAAGACGTGTTTGGGGAAATGACTATGAATTCCAGTAAGAATGTACCAGTTAGAATAATTCACCCAAAACACAGAAAAGCAACCACAAATGCATGAATGCAAACCATATGTTTTCTATGTATCTATGCATATGTTAATGTTGAAAGGTGGGATACAGAGTTAATAAAATGTAACTAATAAAAAATATATATAAAAAAGACTTCATCTCCTTCTCAACTGGGGAGAAAGACCAATTTCATTTATAAGAAACACAATTTGCAAACGAATTTCAGTTTCCACTAGATATAAAGCTTTTACTGTTTTCAGATGCAGTTTCTAGAAAATTCTTCTATGCTCAACCACATAGTACATTACTCTTCTTGAAATGTTAATAAATTTTAACATAGTATTTTTATTATTTGCTTAAATGATATGACCCAATTGGATAGCTAACATTTTGCCATAAAGCTGGTTTGACTTTGTTTTTACTGTAGGATAGAAATATGAGAAGGAAAATTTTCAAGAATGAAAATAAACATTTACTCAAATAAGTATAGACTTAAGTGAACACACACAATGTTTTACAAATAATTTTAACTTCTGAATATGTGAAGACTATCATATCCGATTATTTATATGTTTGAGCTTGAGTGGTATCTGTGTTCTGGTTATTTAGTTTAATTTGCCCATCCAAACCAGGATAGAAAAACTTCACTAACAAATGTCAGCTTCCTGTCAGTAGAGCCATGGTAAGAATTGCAAATGCTTAGAGAAGTAATGAAATTGCTCTGTACATAAGCCTTTAGGGTAATAATTCAAAGTAATACTTCTACCCATCAAAAATAACTGTACTGACTAGGAACAGAACCTAGTACCTGACAGTTTTAACACCATTACTAGAGTTGAATTCTAATGCTAAGTGCTTTTTAAAAGTCCATCAAGATTTAATAGAGTGAATTTACAGACTTGGTCAGAGTTTTAGCCACGTAAATTCCATTAGGTTCAAAGTTCCATAATACTCCACCCTGTCTAAATCGATGTCCACATTCCAATCTGTAGCCTTCCATGCTCTCTGTTGAACTCTCTAATGTCTCAATTTCTTTCCTCCCAGTTTTGGTTTCCACATTGCTCCTCAAATATGTCTTATCTCTTGGATATAGGGCCTTAAGCTTCACGCTCTTCCTATTTGAAATCCTTTGAGACCTCTATTTTAAAATAAACACTCTCTGCACTGATCTTCTATCATGACTTTATTACACCTGACCTATTTTCTACCCAACGTTCTATCAGAGTCAATTTGAACCATCACTAAGGCTATATGCCAAAATCTGCTTCTTGGATAATCATACCCAGAGATGATGATAGCACTCTCAGAAAATGTACCTCTCATCAGTGTTTTGGAGCACTGAGAAAAAAGCATGAAGTAATTTCTGAATCTGGGTCAGCTATTTTGTAAATGTATAAGAGCAAGGTTTACAGTAGAATGGATCTCACTGGATGGATAACCTGTCACTCTGTTAATGAGTTATGGAACAACCTAACAGACTACTTTATGGAGGAGTGCTACTTGCAGGTCAGTCCTGAGTGATGCTGCTGCATTTAAAGAGAGAACTATAGTAGGTATTAAGACAAGGGAAGGCTCAAAGGATATTCCAATTTCTTATTACTATCCTCTTCTTTCAAAATATATTGATATTTAGTTTTTTTTTATTAAAATCCGGTGTTAAGACATGTAGTAGAAATTAAGACTAAGATTCTTTGATGAATACATAAAAATAGAACAGAGTAAGAAGCAAGCATGTATATATAGTAGAGCTGAAGAATTTTCTACCAAAAACTTCCCTTTGTTCTAGAAAGAAATAGTAAAGAAAAGTGTGGAGAGACTTAGATATGGAACTAAGAACATTGTACATTTTTCTGAAAATAATAACAATGCATTGAAGAATCAAAAGAAAAGCCTGACCTGTATAAAGAGAAAATAGTTTTAAAGAGAAATGAGAGAAGAAAAAGGGATACAGTTTGAAAGGGTAACATCATCCACAGAAAAAGGCATTGAGTAGCAGGGCATAGAGAAGTAGGGACAGATCAATAAGATATTTAGGAACAAACATGACAAGGCTTTATGTGTTAATAATTCAAAAGCCAATTCACCTCAAAATGAGACAATATGAAGACATAGGTCCACAAAATACAACCATCTGCCCTACATCTCTTTTTCTTTGTGTTTGTATCATTCACCAAAGTCCACTGAGAATGAACTAAAAAAGAAAAGCTAAAAGTCTTATTGGGATGATACTTCAGCAATTTAGACAGCACTGACTCATAATGTCTAACATTTCAGACTGTTGACCTATATTTCCTGTTGATTAAGAATGCTCATGTGTTTTCTTTCTCTGTTTTTTTTTTTTTTTTGTTTATTTGTTTTCAAATTTCTAGTTACCAGTTATAGAAATCTAACCCAAAGGCAGTGGCTTTATTGAAACCATGTGATTAACTGGCTACAAGCAGCTGTTTACATGAGGGTTATCTTAAGGGCAGCCTCATATATGTCCTCCATTCAGGATCCATAAGGCCTGACATAATCATTACCTATTTGTTTATGAGAGGCTATAGTCCCACTGGACTTCTCATTTGCAGATAATGGTTCTTGAGTTAGACAAGCTGTTTAGTCATTTTAAACACAGCAGGACTTAGTTGGACCTTCTGTCTGTCACTTATACAGAAAGGATGAACAGTTCTTCATTTATTGAAGAAAGCAGAACCAAAAGGAAGACTGGAGACTATGGAAGATAATATCAATCCCTTTCCAAATACTATCCCACTAAACACACTCAGGCACTAACAAAGTGTTTTAAATGCCTTGTCATGTTAGTTACTGAGTATGCTGGTGTGTTCTTGTACTTGGAACACTTGGGAAATAGAGGTGGAAGGAGGAGTTTGAGGTTATTCTTTCTTACCTTGTGTATTAGATACCAACCTGGGCTATATGAGGTCTTTTTCAAAGAAAAACTTTTAACTGCATTCATTCTAGGAAATGCTTTGATTTTGTATATAAATTCAAGACAAGATAATTTTCTAAAATCATTTTATAACTACCATTTTTCATTCCTCTATTCAACCAGTTACTTAATCATTATAAATTATGGAGACTTAATGCTACCTGCAGTTTGTTACTCATTTATGTCCACAAGTGACCAGAGATCAAGAAACTAACTCACCTTAAAGACATCCATGTACACAGCTCAGTAAGATAAATTAGTTGCTTATGAATAGCTGATAACGGAGAAGAGAAAACCCAACTGAAATAAAGGAAAACTTTAAAAATTACTTACTTCACTTGTTTGCAGGATTGTGAACTTTGGCAGTTTGGTCTTTGAACTGGCTGCACAGGGTTTCCCATCTAACAGTGATCCAAAGGAGAGGTTTCCAAAGCTGTTCTCAAATTCAATAGAAGGCTTAAGTGTTGGAGAGATATCAGATGCCTGGTCCTGCCCATCCATGGGCCTTACATACGCAGTTGGCTTTTGTTGTCCCATGCTTGTTTTGCAGTAAAGACCTGGTGGGAAGGTTGGAACTGAGAGGCCACCACTGGGAGCTAATAAAGATGAGGCAACTAGGGGAGACCCAGGAGCTTGCACTGTAAATTCAGATTCTTCTCGTGAATTGGACTGAAAGATTTCTTTGAAAGAATCTTCTCCACCAGAATTGGGGTTATTATCTTCCTTTGCAGACGGGTTAGATTTTTCAACTGTACCAATTTGGGGTTGCTCTGCTGGATAGACAAAAAAGTCTTCTAGTCGGGTTTGATGCAGGTCTTGTGTGGATGTCTGTATCTTGTTTGGTTGAATAGTGGCCTGGCTTGTTTGTCCAGGGCTAGTGTTGTGATTATCTCGCGGCCACTCAGATTTCGATTTTCTGTTACTGTGTATTAGAGTGGAATTCAATATCACGACTGAAGGTGGAAGCATTGGTGCTGAGGAGTGGGTATTCTCTTGGTGAGAAGGGATCATTCGATTCTTTTGTTCTGGATAAAAACTTGCTTCACTTTTGTTGATGGGAGTCTGGGGCACAGAATTCTTTGGAATACCCACCAGATGATTCTGACCAGAATGATTAGTTAGAAGATCCTTCATTTCATCATAGCTTCCAAGAGTGTTCTGGACTTTGTTGGCAAGGGCATCCCCTTTGTTTGTCTAAAGTAACAAAAAGATGGGGGTGGGAGGAGAAAAGATGAATAGGTGTCTGATTCTTAACATTGTCACTTCAAATATATGACTTCTATAGACTAGTAGACAGAGTTCCTTAAAACTGTCATATTGTCATATAAGTTCATACTTTAAGTGCTATGTAAGGCAAAAATAAACCATATATTGACAGGAATTTGGGATTCCAATGCAATTCTTCACAGATCTTCAATGAACAATTTTCAGTTTCATAAGGATGTGCACACACACATACACACACACACACACACACACTCACACAAACAAACACACAAAGTCCATGATAGCTAAAGCCATATTGAATAATAAAAGAACTTCTGGAATTATCACCATCCTTGATTTTAAGTCTGGTTTGTTAGTCCAGGACTAGTGTTGTGATTATCTCGTGGTCACTCACATTACAATTTTCTTTTGCTGTGTATTAGAGTGGGATGCAGTATCACGACTGAAACTGATAATAAAACAGTACGGTATTGCCACAAAACAAATAAATTGATCAACTGAATTGAATTGAAGACCAAGACATAAATCCACACACCTATGGACACATGATTATTTCTTTAAAAAGAAATACACACACAAAAAAAAATCATTGTTAATAAATTGTGCTTGTCAAACTGGATGAGTACATGTAGAAGAATCCAAATAGATTTACATTTGTCACCTGGCCAAAAACTCAATTCTAAGTGAATCAAAGATCCCAACATAAAACCAGATATACTGATCATGACAGAAAAAAAAAATAGGTATTAGCCTTGAAATCATTAGCACAGGAAAAGACTTTCTAAGCAGAATACCATTATCACAGTCACTAATATCAACAGTCAATAAATGGAACCTCGTGAAACAAAAAATATATACATCAGGGACACCATCATTCAAAACAGTAGCTTATAGAACAGGATTTTTTTTTTTTTACCAACTATACATCTTATATAGTGCTACTAACCAAAATATATAAAGAACACCACCAACAAAAACTTATCAAGAAAACAACCCAATTAAAAATGAGGTGCAAATCTAAACAAAATTCCAAAAGAGGAAACTCAGATGGCTAAGGAACACTTAAAGAAATTTCAAAATTTTTAGCCATCTGGAAAATGCAAATACAAAACTTCTTTGAGATGTCTTCTTAAACATGTCTAAATGTCTAAGATAAATAAAAACAAGTGATGGGGAACACTCATTCATTGCTGGTAGGAGAGCAAACTTGTACAGCCATTACAGAAATCAGTTTTGTGGTTGTTCAGGAAGATTCGAATTGATCTATTTCAAGATCCAACTATACCACTCTTGGTCATATAATCAAAGGAAGCTTTATTCTACCAGAGATATACTTGCTCTGATATGTTAATTGCTTCTCTATTCATAACAGCCAAAAAATTTGAAACACCCTAGATGTCATAACAGAAGAATAGATAAAGAAAAGGTGGTGTATTTACACAATGAAGTATTACTCTATTACTCTGCTGGTAAAAACAAAACAAAAACAAAAAACAAAAACCACTATAACCATGAGATTAACAAGGACATGGATGGAATTTAAAAAAAAAATCATTCTGAGTGAGATAACCTAGACACATATGGCATGTATTCACTTAGTTATTAATTCAATGATAGCTAAATTGCAATCCATACAATCACAGTGGTTATGTACAGAGTAAGGGACTAGAAGGGACAGATAGATCTTCCTAGGAAAGGGAAGCAGCAAGAAAAGTTATTGATGGATGAGGACAGGAATAGAAGGATTAAGTAGAGAGATGGGGAGGGATGAGGAGCATGAGGGAGGGAGTATAGGAAGAGATTGCTAAAACAAAGGGCCATTTGAGATGTAGCATGGAAACCTAATGTAGTAGAAGCTTCTACTAAATCTAAATGAAATCATCAGTTTTCATGGGGGAGACAGAGACCCACTGAATATCTCTTGTTTCCAAATGTAGCTTCCAGGATTGGGTTATATGTAATTGAGTTGTTAGCCAAAGGGTTCCCATAGGAACCCTCAAAAAATACAGGCTGCTGCCAAGATTAAAGGGTGCTCTTCACAAACTGATGGCAAGTTGCTATTGCTGAAACAACGACCTACAGAACTCATTGAACATGGAGATGTTGAGCTGGTGCCACATATAGCCTTTACCTCTAAGAGCCAGCATCTTTGGTATAAGGAGGTATGCTTCACACTACCAAAGAAGAGATGTATATAACAATACAGGCACAAAACCTTTGTTATACAATAGTATCTTGCTTGCAAGATGTGCTAATGCAATGGTTTGTAGTAAAATTTGTTGGAGTAACCAATCAATTTCTGTTTTGACTAAAGACCTACTCCATGAGACGAAGTGATACATGACACTGTTAGAGTAACAAAGAACTTGAGACTGGATAGTCTATGGACCTGGGATAAAGCTAATCCCTACTGTTTCCCCCCCAAAAAAAATAGTAGCAATAAAGTGACTCCTAATGACATTCTGCATACTCCTGTACCAGTATCCTGTCCCGAAATCATCAGTGAAACTTTCACTTGCAGTAGATAAAGACAAACACAGAGACTTATAGCCATACATTAAACAGAGAATGAGAAACCTTGGGATATCTCCATCAAATTCATCTGTTTAGGGTTCAAGTAACCTCTCTGAAGTGGAGATGGAAAGAGTGTAAAAGGAAGAGGGAATGGAGGACACCAAGAATACAAGCCTCTCTAAATCAACATAATAAAAGCTCATATGAACTAATAGAGACAGAGGAAGCATAGGGTCTGCAGGGTTCTACAACACATGAGGTCCTAGAGCTGAAAGGAGGAGTTGACACGTCCCCATCCCTAGTCCAGAAACAATCTGAATTTGATAACCACTTGCACATGAGTAGTTTTCTCTAAGGAGTCTCACTGGGTATATAAAACACAACCCAAAGCCCAGGAGTGGTTAATTGGCCAACACAAAATGGCTTCTATGCTCTTTTTGTGGACTTTTGGTACCATTTTATTTTGTTTTGGTGTTTTTGTCTAATTGGTCTTTTAGTTTATGTACATAGTTTGATTTGTAGTTTTAGTGTTTTAATGGGGTTCCTGCGTATATAAAATGAGTTTCTGTTTCTTGTACCTAATCTTGGCCTCTTTTCCTTCTTTTTTTTTTGTCCAATTCTGTTATATTACCTTTTGTTTAATTATATATTATTATTTTTTACTTTATTTACATATTTATTTACTAACATATAATTTATTCATTTTGTATCTCATCTGTAGCCTCCTCCATCTTCTCCTCCCACTCTCACCTTGGCCCCTCTTCTCTTCCTATGCCCCTCTCCAAATTCACTGATATGGGAGGTCCTCCTCTCCTTCTATCTAATCCTAGCCTATCAGGTCTCATCAGGCCTGGCTCTATTGACTTCCTCTGTGGCCTGATATGGCTGCCCCAACTAGGAAGAGGTGATCAAAGAGCAGGATACTGACTTCATGTCAGAGACAGCCCCTGTTCCCATTACTAGAGAACCCACTTGTAGATGAGCTTTCTGGCCTACATCTGAACAGAGGTTCTAGGTTATCTCCATACATAATCCTTGGTAGGTGTATTGGTCTCTATCCATTCTTCAGTTGAGGGTCTTCTTACTGGTGGTTGTATTACAAGAAATATATGACTTTTATGCATTTTTGAAACATCAATCTTTATAATACATATAAAATACTATACCTGTTTTGTAGAGAATTCAGTTAAAATTGTGTTGTCTTCACTACACAAACTTTAAACAAGGCAATGGATTAAACAACATGTAATTGAACTAACTTATGACTAACATGAATCTTATTTATTTTAATAAGAGAACTTTATAAATCAGTGGTGCCTGCCTACATATTCTGGGGGTGACTGTGTTTACGCATTGATGATTCATATTTATTTAATTTGAAGGGCTGCAATTGTTCATCATCAGTGACTCAAGCAATAGTTACACAAGCTCTCCTGTGACTCTGCAGTGAGTTAGAAAATTTTATTCGAGAATTTACATTGTTGATTACGTAAATCAAAACAAATTTATTTTTTTTTAAATAATGTTAGCCTAATGTGTAAGTGGTAATGAGAGAACCAAATCAGTCATTGGACGATCAATAGGTCAACTCTACCATCCTTTGTAGGATATGTTAATCTCACAAAAAATGCCAGATTGTTCTTTAATAATATAATTAGGTTCTTGCATGAGGAATCAAAGTTTTCATGACTAAAATATGATGAATAGCTGTACACTTGAGAAAACCTGATGAAATTCAGTTGCTAATTATCAAAATTAACTTTAACGATTTTCTTTACATCTAAATAGGTTATCAAAACAAGTTGCTGAATTCAGAAAAGGAAAAGACTTCTCTATTCCTATTCCTATTACTATTCTGGCTCCATATGTTACAAAGAACCAAAATTACTATTATCCTTGGAAAAATTTAGCAATTCAGGCATTAGTTAGAGTAGGCCCCATATTATGTGTCCTTACTGTCACAGAAGCTAAAACCATACTCTCCATGCACAAAAATGAAAAGCATGTGCCTCGTCCTTGGTACATGGTCCATAAAAGATAGATGTTAAATATCCATAATACTTCACATGCCCTCAGCACTTCCTGATCTCCTAGGCTACACAGGTGATATACTTATCAAGTCTCAGGTGATAGTTTATATATATAGGTTATATGATTCTTTAGTCTTTGTCTGTGAAGGTGAAAGAAATAAGGAAGGACATAGGATGAAGTATTAGACATGGATGAAATCAACAAAGGAAATAAAAGTAAAATGAAAAGAGTAGTCTCAAGCAAAACATCTGGATTATGGGCACCGTTAATAGATTGGAGAAACAAGAGATACCAAAAAGGAATGATCAGAGACAGAGACCAAAACTAGAAATCTTGGACTCATTAGAATGATCTCTACATAT